ACACCCTCTGTGATGCATCTGATGACCCCCTACAGGGGAGGCCTGTTCCAGCCTGGCCTTGAAACCTCTTAATATCAATGCCCGAATTATCCTGGGACTGGCCTGGGTGGAAACACTACCCAGTTAACATCGGGGCCGCCAGGGATGACAGTTTACCTGAAAAAGATACTGTTCAGAGACATCCAAAGGACTCTCAGGAGATTGATAAACTTTCTCCACATTTTGGAAAGCTGTGAATCATGAAAATCAGAATCATTTAAGAATAAAAATAAACTGTAGATTGATGCCCTTGAAAGGGGACCATGATTGTAAATCCATGAAGGTGGATGTCACATGGTTCTGGTATTACCTGCACAGGCTTGGGCTGGAGGGAAAATTATTCAGATCAGCTCTTGTCAAAACAGTAACTGAAATAAAATGAGGGATTCAGCTGTTATTTTTTTTCTTTTGAGTCAGTCAACACTGGATCATATGTGTTCACTTATGTGCTTCTGTGACACTGTCATACTTTGTGCTTACAGTTGCATGTTTGTGTCTGTATAGTAAAATCAATAATAACACCAGTGCATTCAAACTGCCAACACTTCACAGGTTGGATGCCTCTGGGGCTCTGTTTCCTGATGTTTGACTCTGTTATTTTTTTTCTTTTGAGTCAGTCAACACTGGATCATATGTGTTCACTTATGTGCTTCTGTGACACTGTCATACTTTGTGCTTACAGTTGCATGTTTGTGTCTGTATAGTAAAATCAATAATAACACCAGTGCATTCATATTGCCAACACTTCACAGGTTGGATGCCTCTGGAGCTCTGTTTCCTGATGTTTGACTTTTGGTTCTTAATGTTTTCTGCTGTCAGGGTTGTCCCTGCAACCCTGGATCCACACCTTGCAACTTTGGTGTCATGGGCTTTATTTACCACTAAATCTCAACCCCAGAGTCTACAATTGTAAACAGGTAATTAGAAACAAAACAAAACAAGTTCTTTGTCATGGATTAGCTGATAGGGAAATTGTCCCAATAAAAACTGTATGGTAACTTAGTGAGTTGCAATTTCCATTTAATTTTGTTTAAAGGAAAGTGCAAATTTTACATTATTTGTTATTTATTTATGTATTTATTTGCTTATTTATTTTAGACAAAGCATCATGGAGCACAGGCTGGCCCCAAACGGGCTGTGTGGCAGAGGCTGTTCTTGAATTCCTGATCCTCCCATCCTCACCTCCCAACTGCTGGGGTTACAGGTGGGCACCACCACTATACCTGGTTTATGTGGTGCTGGAGACGGAAGCTTGGCTTTGTGCTGGGCAGGCACTCTACCAACTTAGCTATGCCTTCAGCTCTTTGCTTACATTTCTTTAATCAAATATGGAATTTTATCAAACTGGCAAATCTTAATTGGATTTGCACTGTAATTGACTAAATATATGCATCTAAATTTAAAGTCGTAACCTTATTTTCTGAAAAAAGTTCCAGACTCCAGGTAAGCACAAATAGATGTTCAGCTACAAACTCTCTAGAGGGATGCGGCAGTTGTTCACAACTAAGCTTCTGTCTTTCTGTTCCGGCCACTGCTGTGCCGGAGTCTCAGGGGCCATCAAGTGATGCTCTCCTATCACAGATAGACACTGTCAAATGCGAAAACAGGTTCAAAGTCTTGAAATCAAACCCAGAGAGACTATGGACTGTGAGTGACTATAGAAATTCAGAGTCAGGTAAGAGACCCAGACTCAGAATGCCATCAGGACACTGAGAGCACAGTGCAGCTGGGTCTGAGTTGAGGTTCCTTAGAGATTGTGTCAGGAGCAAGATCAGGAAGAAAGGTAGGAAAAGGAGCAAAGAGCAAAGCCAAGAAGCCCAGTCCAGCCACCTGAACCGCAGAGGAAATGTGCTTGCTGTTGCCTGCCTCAGCCCCAGGGGGCACTCCTGGGATTCCTGGAGAGCAGACAGAGAGGGACAGGCATCCAGGAAGGTGACTGGGAAGACCCAGGATCGAACATCTAAGAGTGAATGAGACTGAGTTGAGCAGAGTTTGAAGGCGAAAGTGTGACGTAACAACACACTGACGATAAAACAGTTGCTAAGAACTTCGAACTGTGGAAGGACCAGGGTTAGACAGGAAGAGGTAAGAAAAGACCAAGGGTGATGAACAGGACTCTCTTCCCTCCTCCCGTTGAAACTGTTGTTTGCCAAACTGCTACATTCTTGTGATCTTTTATCTTACCACGTGCTTATGTGTAAGCACATGCTTAATTACCACATATATGCTACTTGCTTGCTTAAATCCCTGCATATGAGTCATTATAAATTTCCCTAAAAACTTGAGCTGGGGGCTGGCACTATGATGGATGGAGTGATCCGAGTATAAGCCCTCTGGCCTGAATAAACTCCTTCACCTGGACTGGCTGTTGGTCTCCTGATTTCTAGAAGTTCCCACAACAAAAGGGGCCTAAGGCCCCAGCCAGCCCAGAGAGATGCCCTGGATCTGGTGCTGAGATGTGGTCACATGCTCCTGTTTGGATCACCATGAGGACACTAGATGAGGTTTCCCCCAGAAAGAAAGCTTGACCTTGGTCTTAGCAGTTTTTCCCCAACAATAAAAATGCCTCGAGGCGGACTTAGCTGAGAGCTGCCGGATTCTAACACACTTGGCAGCTGGGGAACAGTACTTTCTGTCCTAATGGGGAGTAAGGTGCCCAGTACTGCAGGAAATGACCACAGCCTGGGACACTGTGCTCACCAGTTCCTTAGGACAAGTGGGTGGGTCAGGTGGTAGAGCACACAGAAGATGAGACAAATATCCATAATCTCCCCAAATAGAGGGGTTCCTGGGAGCTCCAGTACCAGAAAAAGGTACGAAGTAGTTTTGCATTTAACACTAAGAGCATGCTGCCATAGAAAGTCCTAAATTTTGTATTTAGATGTTAAAGATGCAGAAGGAGAGAAAGGTTTTCCAGCGAGGTTGGGGGTCAGGAGATCGATGAGAAAGGGTCAGCGTTGCCTTTAGACAGACAGGCGTCAGGGTCAACTCAGACTCTGCCACAAACGTGTCTCATGAGCTCCAGGGGTGTTGCTTGCCCTGGCATGCCTCTGTTTTGAGGAGGCCAGGTCCCTTAGACGAAAAATCGGTGCACACAAACATGAGTATGTACTGTGGACTCATCCTCCAAGGACGCTGGTCTGCATTTCATGTGACAAGGGCTGTGGCTGAATGCAGACTGAAAGCAGTCAGCAGGTGATCACTGTGCTGCTTGTCTCTGCTCCTCTCCTGTCTCTTTGCCCCTCTCGTGTCTGTTAATGCAGCTACACACAGAGCCTTCCTCTTTTCTGTGATGCCACAACAGAACATTACAACCCAGGTAACGCACAGGGAATGACGGTCCTTTCCTCACTTCTCTGCAGTTGGAAAGTTCAAATTCAAGGTTCCTGCCTCTGCCAGGGGCCTGTTTGCTAGCCTCAGACAGCGGGCTGTGGATGAAAGTTCCTGGAGAATAAACGCACCTTACACTGAACCTCCTGCAGGGCTAATTTGTTAGAACATCGACGTCAGTGGTATGGAGAGTTGGGATGCTGAATCCCAGAGCCAAATGATATTGGGCAGTCTTTAATTATTTATGGCCCTCCTCTGCATGTGACCAACATCTTTGTGACCATTAGGCAAATCCTTTGGAATGCAAGATGACTAGCTTTCGCTGCCCAAAGTCTGAGAATGGCCAGCATCTGAGCCCACAGCAGAGCCCTCCTTGGTCTGCTGTGACCCACTTACCCTCTGCTTCCATCAATACATTAAAAAAGTGCCTTGATTTTTTATTCTCCTTGTTCTGTTGCCATAAACATTTTATGAAACTGTCATCACATTGGAAAATGGAGTTTTGTTTAACATGAGTCTGGTTCCCAGGCCATGGTGGCTCATAGTTGGCTTCAGAATAAACCACCTCCTATCCCAGTTGAGGTGAGAACTGTGTTTTTGCAATGACAGGACCAAACTCGCTATTATTTATTTAATTTTATTTTTTAGGTTATTATTTGAGACAAGGTCTTACTATGTAACCCAGGCTGGCCAGAAATTCACAGTCCTCCTGCATCCATTTCTCAGTGCTGAGATTACAGGTATCTGTCACCAAGTTCCATTAACTCACCTTTTATAATGTCATTACCCCCTCCCTCACCAGGAGAGTGGAGTCCTTCGGCCTAATCACTTCTTAAAGATCCCAGCTGTAAACACTTGTAATGACAATTTGGAAATGTCCTTACGCTTGGATTATTTTTTGGTTAGTGATATTTGTTTTGCTGATAAAGATGTTACAGACAGCTACAATTTTTGAGGTGTACACAGTCTTATCCGCTTATCTCTAAGATTTACAAAAACCTATAAATTGTTTTTGAAAATCCATCCCAGAAACATTTGACGTATACTTTATGCAATCACCTTATATTTTATGCTTAATATTTATGTTACTTATTTCACTTAAAATTTACTTCATAATAACAAGAAATTAAAAAATTATTATCCACTTATTTCTCTTTCTGCTAGTGTTTTGCATCATATAATGAAAGACAAGTTACATGATTGCTGTCTAGCTAACCCAGCTTGCATAAATCATTCTTAGTGCTGAGCCTCTAGTTCGAAATAAATATACCTGCTGGCACGCAGCTGGGAGGAAGAATGGATTTTTAACTGATCTGCCAAGCATTAAAAAAATTAAACTATGTGAGGCCGGAGAGCTGACTCAGCAGCTAAAAGCACTTGCTCTTGTACAGCACCTGAGTTCAGTTCCCAGAAGCCACATCCGTTGGATCACAACAACCTCTAAGTCCAGCTCCAGGGGATCTGACTCCTGCTCCTGGCCCCTTGCACTCACATGTTCACACACATAAATAAAGATTTTTAAAGTTCTAAGATACGTCAAAGTGCGAGCTCACACAAGTAAGTTCAATCGAACAGATAAGCTGGTGTTTTGGGAATGCACCGTGCCTGACTTCGGGGGAGCCGGGTTGGTATCACCCCACGCCCTTCTGCAGCCACTCCCTCAAGGCCCCCTTGACCTCCTCGTTCCTCACGCTGTATATGAGGGGGTTCATCACCGGCGTGAAGATGGTGTAGAAGGCGGACACCACCTTGTCCCCTTCTCCTGCGCGGTGGGCCTTGGGCCGCATGTAGATGAACATGATGGCCCCGTAGAACAGCCCCACGACGGCCAGGTGCGAGGAGCAGGTGGCGAAGGCTTTCTTCCTGGCCGTGGTGGACCTCATGCGGAGCACGGCCACCAGGATGAGCGCGTAGGAGGCCAAGATGAGGGACAGCGGGATCAGGAGCATCAGCACGCAGCAGACGTACATGAAGGACTCGAAGACTTCGGTGTCCGCACAGGCCAGGCGCAGCAGCGAGGGCGCCTCACAGAAGAAGTGGTCGATCTCCCGAGAGCCGCAGAAGGGGAAGCTCAGGGTGGCGCCCGCCTGCACCAGCCCGTCCGCGGCCCCCAGAAGCCAGGAGCCCAGGGTCAGGTGCAAGCACAGCTTGGGGCTCATGAGGACGTGGTAGCGCAGGGGCTGACAGATGGCCACGTAGCGGTCATAGGACATGGCGGCCAGGAGAAAGCACTCGCCCCCCGCCAGGGTGAGGAACAGGAAGATCTGGGAGCCACAACCTGCCGGGGAGATGGTCCTCGTGCGCATCAAGTAGTTGACTGCCATCTTGGGGATGATGGTGCAGACCAGCATCGTATCCATGAGGGAGAGCTGACTGAGCAGGAGGTACATGGGCGTGCGCAGCCTGGGGTCCCCGTGGATGAGAAGAATCATGAGGGCATTGCCCATCAGGGAGGCAGTGAAGATCACCATCACCGCGGAGAACAGGAACAGGTGGGCTTGAGTGTGGCCGAAGAGCCCTAGGAGGGTGAAGTACGCCGGGGTGGTGTCATTGGGAGTCTCCATGGCTCTGCTCAAAGCTGGAAGACAGGAGGATGCACAAACTTGGTGTCCGCTCAAAAAGTGACCTGCAGCTGCCTTCACAGAGGACCTGGGTTCGATTCCCTGCACCCACATGGCGGCTAACAACCCTTGATAACTCCAGTTCCGGGGGAATCCAATACCTTCTTTTGACTTCTGCAGGGGCTGTACAACGTGGGTGCACTTACACATGTGCAGGCAATACACTCATACACTAAAATAAAACAAAAATAAAAATTAAAAACTTCCATCTCAGCAGGGCATGGTGGCACGTGCCTTTAATCCCAGCACTCAGGAGGCAGAGGCAGGCGGAGCTCTGTGAGTTCATGGCCAGCCTGGTCTACATAGTGAGTTCCAGGACAGCTGGGGCACCCTGTCTCAGAAAAAAAAAAAAAAAAAAAAAAAAAAAAAAAAAACAAACCCCCAAAAACCCCCAAAACTTCCATTTTATAACAAAAAATATTTACTCGGGTAAATGTAATTTATGTGTGATTTCAAAGGACAAAATTCAACATAATTTTGGAGGTCACAAGAACGGGCAGTTTTGCAATCTGTTGCTCTACACACTGAAAACACAATGAAGCCCTGACCTTTCTTCTTTCTTCCATATGTGATTACAGAGAGCACAGAGACCTTTGGATCTGCCGTCCCTCTTCCATGCCCCTTCGCTGTGGGATCCTCTGACCGCAGGAGAGTGTTTCACACTGTGAATGCCAGGAGCTCTTGGTCTGGCCCGAGTCTGTCAGATTTTTCTATTTGAGTCTGGACTATTATATATGAAACTGCCCCTGACCGCTCATCTCCCCGTTGGAGTTGTTAGGACCGCGGTGGTGCTGATCACAGCACTTTGCCCACCGCTTTGCTGCATATCTCCTTGACGATTTCATCAGGAGGCAGCCTCTGGTTTCACAACCACAAAATAGTATTAGGCCAGTTAATTTTTTTCTTGGAGAATCAAGGGGAGAAGACGATTTTCAAATCAGTTGGTTTAACACAAGAGCTGAGGTGCTAGGGTTGACTTCTCACATTCAATTTTTGTCTCTTAGGCTTCACTACAGCTGTTATCTGAGTATCAAGGAAGCCATTCAGAATAAAAAAGCAAATACGATAAACAGCAAACTCTTTAAAAGTTTTATTACCTTTATTTTAGTGTGTGTATGAGTTCACCACGGCACATGTGGAGGTTAGATAGAGGACAACTTGCAGGAATCAGTTCTTCCTTCCACTATGTGAGTCTTGGGAATCATTCTCAAGTCTTGACAGCTAACACCTTTACCCACTGAGCCATCTTGTTATACCAACAATGACTCTTTTTTTTTAAAGAAAATATTTTATTTATTATATTTATTTTATGTGTATGAGTGTATTGTCCACATGTATGTGAGTGCACCTGTGTCGTGCAATGCCGCGGAGGTCAGAGGGCTTCGGATTCCTCTGGAACTGGAGTTAAGGATGGTTCGTAGCCTCCGTGTCGGTGCTGGGAATCGAGCCATTTCTCCAGCCCCAACAATGACTCTTGAATGCCTAGGTTAGATGAACTGACCAACCTTCATATAATTGATAAGTTCGGTTGAAAATAGGTCACACTATCTGTCAGAGTCCCCCTGGGGAAGGGCAGTGCTGGGCTGTTTTGCTACCAAAAATAAGCTATTGCAAAAAGGAGGCAGGGAATAATTGAATTTATTCTTTATTTTTGAAACAGGTCCTGCTATGTAGCTCAAGCTCTTCTGGAACTTGTAATCCTTCTGTCCCAGCCTCCTGAGTGTTGGGATCATGGGTGCATATCACCAGATCAATATTTTTATAAACTCTTGAATAAATGAAAACTATATAAGATGATTACAGTGGTGTTGTTTTAACCAAGGAAATCCAACATACCTTCATTTAAATGACATAAAAGCCCAGTTGGTACATTCCAGGGACTCAATCATCCCATCAGGAGTGGGTGAGGATCATGGGTTTGCTTGTACACCTGAAGAATAGACATCTAGTGTAATCCCAATGAGTGTAGGTGTTTTGAAGTCAAACACATTTTTTTATACCAAACAAGCTCCCAGTTAGTGTTTTAAAACAGGGACATACTTATCTTATAGACTCATAAAATATATATAATTATATAAAAAGATGTATAATTATCTGTCCTAGTTTGTTTCTTCATTGCTGTGACAAAACACTCTGACCACTACCAACTTGGGGAGGAAAGGGTTTATTTAGCTTACATATCCCAGGTCATAGTTCATCCAGGAGCCCAAGGTAGGAACTCAGGGCAGGAACCTGGAGGCAGGAGCTAGAGCACAGGCCATGGAGGAATGCTGCTTACAGGCTTGTTCCTCTGGCCCCCGAACAGCCTGCTTTCTTATACAATACAGGCCCACCTGCCCAGGGGTGGCACCACCCACAGTGGGCTGGGCCCTCCCACATCATTCAACAATCAAGAAGATGCCCCACAGACATGGCCACAGGCCAGTCCAAAGAAGGCATTCCCCAATTGAGGCTCCCTCAACCCAGGTGTGTCAAGTTGACACTAAAGCTATCCAGCACATTATCTTACAGATTTATAAGAAAAAAAACAAGGTAGTTTAAATGGAGGACTCAACCAGTTCGGATCTCTAGGAAACGCTTCATAAACTGCAGAAACTCTCACTTTCATCTATTCAAAATCGTCACCAGGGCCAGTGAGATGGTTCAGGGGTAAAGCACAGAAGTCAGATGACTTCGATTCCCAGAACTTATGTAAAAGTGGAAGAGAACAAATTCCACAAAATTGTCCCCATGACTTCCACATAGGGGCACACGCACACACACGCACGCACGCACGCACACATGCACGCATGCACGCAGTACTACCACCACCACTACTACTAATTTAATTGAAATCCATTGCTGGTTCCAGAGGGGTATGCATGAAGGATTTAAATGATAACATTGAATGCATCTATTTCATTCAGTGTTGGAATATGCCCCCATCCCAGTTCTCCTGAAAACCTCATCAGTACTGTTTGCATAATTTCAACTTGATAAGATGAAATTATTCACATAAGAATAGAAAATGTGCCAAGTACGGTGGTATACACCTTTAATTCCAGCACTTGGGCAGCACAGACAGATCTCTGTGAGATCAAGGCCAGTCTGGTCTACACAGTGAGTTCCAAGACAGCTGGGGCTACAGGGGGACCCTGTCTCAATAAATTAAAAAAGAAAAAAAAGAAAAGAATGCGGTCTCAGTGAGCAGAAAGGACACAAGATAATTGCTGTGCTTATGTTTTCAAATTTAGATCTGGGCTTTTCTCTGTGCTGTGTATTACAAATTGAAATGTTCTGAAAGTCAGTCACAAGGCAGAAATACAAAAAAACCCTATATAATCTTTTAACCAGTTGGGGTGGAAATAGAGAGCTTTTCCTGTACCTGGGAACCAATGATATGTGTCCTGGGTTTCGTTCTAAGAAATAACACAAATGAAAAAGGAAAATAACTTACATTTCCATAAGTTTCTTTTACAAGTTTCTCTAAAATGTAAAATGAGAAAAATGGTCATGGAACTGCTAAGCTGCTACCATGGGCCTCAGTCTAGCAACCCAAGCGAACTTTCATATCATGATAATTGACTAAAGTTATATTTTGTGAATTTTATAAAATCTACACGGCAGAGAATCCTATGAGGCTGTGTAAGGAGATGCAGACACATTAGTGTCTCTGTTTTTAAAATGCTATGAATGATGACATAGTCTCTAAAATGATGGAACTTGAATAGACCACAACAAAAGCTTGTGAGAACACCCCCGGAAGTTCTAGCACTGCACCTCCGAGTCCAAGCACTCACCTGTCTCAGGAGCAGCTGCTGTTCTGACCAAGCCTAAAGCCCTGTGGTTCTGACTGCAGGGATCACCATGGAGAGTCGAACACTGTGTAACAGGAAACGCAGCTGCCCACAGTTCCGGGCGTCCCATCTCAGGCTGTGGGAATCTCAGGGAGAGCACAGGTAGCAGATCGGAGAGGACTGAATATTTTCTCCGCTTTATCAGTTCCATGAAGTTAGTTTTCAAGTCCCAGGATATTTGATCCCTGAAGTAACCAATCCATTTGTCTAACATATTAGAAACATTAGGATTTGACAAATTTGAAAGCGAACTAGCCTTTTAACATTGGTACATGTGACAGTATATGTAAATTAATTATTTCATTCCTGGGAACCCATCAATCATGTTAGCCTGCGCTTCAGCAATAAGCCACATGTTGAGAAAGATCTGGTAATTACATGGGGAACAAGCAAAGTGTGTGAGAAATACCTGTCCTAAAAGCTACCCTTTGCTAATGGGGCTGGATCAGCTGAAATCTTTGAATGTTTGTGCTATATGGTTTGAACAGTAGTCACCTGAATGCCTTGAGACTCAGGCTACCCACCTAAGAAAGGACAAAGACCAGTCTTACAGGTTTCTTTACAGAGCTTGCACAGAGTGACAAGCATCAGGTTTATCTAAGAAACATCTCCCCACATTGCTTTCTGCATTTGCTAATGAACATCTTGCCTTCTGATTTCATATATATTTAAGGGAAGGTGTTTGCCTAATGTCAACTGATTAAAACAACTAAAATGAATCTGTGCCACACTACTTTGCTAAATTTTAACTGGTTGAACATACAGCTGTTGATGTGAACTGGCTGGGAAGTAGGACGTCTGCTGGAACTGTGCTCTTCAGTTGTACAAGGGATTCTTGAAACCAGTGCACAAAGAACTCTTTGAACTTTACATTTGAATAGATTGGTGATTATAGGCATAGCGAATAGTAACCAAGGACTTCCACCTGGAATTCTATTACATAGTATGGAGACTAGTATTAACAAAAACACAGTGTTTAGTTCAAAGAATGCTAGAGCAGAGAATTCTGCACGTTTTTACAACGAAGAATGCTAAGCACCGAAAGTAACTGATATGCTAATTACCCTCAGATGCTTATAGCACAATACGGACGTGTTATTACATTAT